ATATATCATTATTCATGATAAGTGCAGGGACTCGCGTCACAAATGTATGTTTATTGAACATGATCTGATTATTCAGTTATTCCGTAGATGCTGTAATCGATAATAATGTGATCAAACGAAAGTTTGGGCTATTTTCTAGAAGATGGTTTACTTTGTCGCATTTAAAGTGATGGCCAATATTCAAGGTCTGTGGATTTCCCCCAGATTTCTGTATGTAAATTTGAAAATATACATATGTAACATATCAGTTTTGTTTTATATAAGAAAAAAAAACTCATTTTGTGCATGATAAAGCGCATGATGCTCACATACTCTCTTTTTCATATACGCTAAACTGCATATAAAAATAACGTCCCAATAAAATGTTATATGTATCGACACTATGCATTGAATGAAGTCTGCCGTCAATTCCACGGTTGACGGTCGGAGTTATTGGGACAACGTTTTGTTATCTGAGTCTACCTTTTCGATATATTTCTTATCTTTCATATTCGATAATAAACACTCCAATAGCTGCATATAGTGCACGCCTTTGGTTATTCCTTTGCTATTCGCATCAACAGTTGTTTGTGCATGTTGCATTAATTTTGTAAAATATATTTCTTCAACTGAAATAAAAATTTTGAAACTTGTACATATGAATATCATGTAAAGTTCAGGTTAAATTGAACTTAATTGTTATGATCCTTATTTAAACAAAGATGATATCCTTTCATTGTTTGGATTTGGCAGATCTTTCATCAGATAATAACTGTCACCCCCAGTTTTTGGTGGGGTTCGTGTTGCTTAGTCTTTAGTTTTCTATATTGGGTCATCTGTACTATTATTTGTATGTTTGTCTTTTTATTTTTGGCCATGGCGTTGTCAGTTTGTTTTCGATCTATAAGTTTGACTGTCCCTCTGGTATCTTTCGTCCCTCTTTCAAAGGTATCTTTAAAATTTCGATATCGTTATTTTTCCTTTATCTTCATACCGAATATTTATGACAAACGGAATGGCTTTTTCTTGTCATTTTGTTAATTTTTCTTTCTTGATGTTAATTTATATGTATTCTTTCTTTGAAGTGTACATTTCTCGGTTTGTTTTGATATACGCCCTTTTCCAGTGACGTCTCAGATGTCAAAGATTTTATTATCTATAAAGCTAACAGGCTTTAGTAAATGTCCTTAAGATCTTCCTTTAGACCGAATAGTATAATTGATAAACTGGAAACCCTGAAAATCATATATGACAGACATCAACCAACAACCAATACTAAATTACAGACTCCTGAGTGAGACAGGCACATAAAGAATGTGGTAGTGTTAAAAATGTTTAACTAAACATAACTTTCTTCTAGGGTGCGCTCGACTTTAGTGACTCAGCACAAGGTTTTTTGGATTGTAAGGTTGTTTATGATTTTTTGTAGACATTAAACGCTAGCTCATCGCGGACAAACAAGTGAGTTATCTATGATTAAAATTTCATAACGAAAATCTCTGTACTACAGTCTGTGGATTTTCTGCAAATATTTGGGATTTATTTGACACAAAACCCCCATTTTCTATTTATGCGACAAAACAATTAAAGTATTAAGGCCTGGCATCCATTAGATATCTAAAATGTAAGTGCATATTGTGTTTCAGAAAGATAAAATCTTTTTTGGATTTGGATGGGCATTTTTTTTTCGTTCCTGCTGTAGGTTTCAGAAATAAACAAACACCTGAATTACATTTGGTACTGTCCACTTAGTTACACCCTTTAACTAGCCTATTGTTGTGTAGATATCTATTGTCAAGGACAATTAATACAATACAATACAGTTGTTACCTGAGACAGTGCATCTCAAAGATTTAACCCAACTTAGTTTAGTTTAACACCTTCTGCAGGAAGAGAAAATGCCTATCAAAATCCAAAAAAATATTTTAATCTTAAAAATAATTTTAGAGAAAACCCAGTCTTATTATTTTGTACACAAGACGCGCGTGTCATATTCACTATTATCATAATAGAACAAATTTGCAAGAAACTGTTAATTCGCTGTGTTTACTTTGATTGTTATATCTATTTATAATATTGTCTTAGAATTACATGCATTTTTTTTGTTTTTACAACACGTACCCTTCTAATGACACTTTGGTTTTCGTAGGGGTTCTTGTTGCCAAGTGTTTTGTTTGTTTACTATTAGAGAAGCAAAAGATACATGTGCCAAAGGGACATTCAAACTCATAAGTCGAAAATAAACTGGCAACGCCATGGCTAAAAAATAAAAAGACTTATAGACAAACAACAGTATACAAAACACAACATAGAAAACTAAAGACTGAGCAACAAGAACCCCCACCAAAAACTGGGGTGATCTCAGGTGCTCCGGAAGTGTAAGCAGATCCTGCTCCACATATGTTGTGTTTTGTAGATTGTTGTTTATATTTACATCTTTTTTCGTTTTTTTTCCAGATTTTGTCCAAACTACTATTCTGTTATCTTGTCCTATTTATCATTGAATGCGTTTTACAGTTTCTCCACATTAACGTTTTATCATTACAGAAGGCTTTGAATGACTTGCGACAAATACATTTGCTAGTAACTTTAATTTCAATGGGATGGTTTCACTTTTACCACTTTGAACCCTTGTTTCAATTACATCATTGTAACAAGCAACTCCCTATAAGGTAAATCATGATTAGAAACATAAGCTCAGGAAAATCATTTCAACTTGGACAAAATATTTTATATACGTCAAGCCGCTGCTGGAATTTGGCTTCATAAAAAAGATAATTCACAATTAGAAAGTTGAAATCATAAGTTTGTCATAACGTTATGTTTTGAAATTTTCACTTTATCTTATTGTGCACGGCATGTGGTAAGTTAAAATATAGTTCTCATATTCCTTCGGTCATTGCTTCATATATGTAGCAATTCATTTTGAAATTCAACTAGCAATTCTATTTGCGCTATTTCTAAAAGACGTGTTTTTAATACTTGGTGGGAATGAAGTTTTATCTTCAGCAATACAGTGCAAATTTCAAACATCATTTCATTGCATACAAGAAATTTACCGTAATCGGAAGTAAACCAAGCAACTTTGACCATTTTTTTCTATTCACAAGTTTTAGTAAACATGTCACCTCAAGTTTCCAAAATATTTTATAAAAACAACAAATAAAAAAAAAGAATGTTGCTTTGAAATACCCAATATATATGTCTATGCTTCAGATTTTTTTTTTGTAATGTCAAATTCAAGGAAAATTTTTTTTTGTCCTTTTGCACATGAAATCGGCATTGACGTACTATGTTTTGGTGGTATTACAGTTAAATGTAAAATACCTTTCATGTTATTTCAGCATGTTAGAGGGAAATGCGTATTAAAAATTACTGTCTACCATACCAAGTATTTCCGAACGAATAAAATTCGAAAAATTGTCTCTGAAGAATTATCTCTTTAAGTTGAGAAATGGAGCGTTACATCTTGTCACATAGGAGCAATGGCACTCATCAATATGTCCGCCTCAATAAGGTCTTTTGGTCACCGCTCCAAGTGTGTACTTGTGATTCTCATAATATTATGTCTAAAAAATGACGAAATTGTAAAACATCTGAACATGGCACCAGACAGCATATCAAACATAATTTGGCAAAGTTTGAATATTTATTCCAAAAAATGCACAACGTGGCGATTTGTTACCAGATCCGTAATTATGTTGGATGAAAAGTATGTAGAAGTTTACGGACGTCCTTCCATGCATTTTTTTTAAAGAAAACATGTAAAAATCGCTTTGTAAAAAAAACTTTGTATAAACTTGCCTGAAACAGCAATGAGTAGAGCATGTAGAGCTGAATGATATCTTAATTTTATAGAAATATGTAAATCGATAAAATATATGAATGGGTGCCATTGCATCTTAAATATTAAACTTCCGGTCGGATTTGACAAATTCTAGATTTGAACTCTGTTAGTGAAACAAATACAGAGGAAACTGTCATCACCTCTTCGTACAGTACAAATGTATTTCATTGACATCTATTTGTGTAGTTTTTGCCTAAAATAATACAACGTATATTTAGTTGATTTTAGATTGTATTATTTACTTCATAACACTTACAGAATAATGAAACTTTGTTTTTGCCACTGCCTTTCTCGACAGGAATATCAAGCGAGCCTACGGAAACTGAATGTCAACAATACCACCAAACGCGCCCGCAAGGACAAGCTTAAATTCTAGAGTATCAACGAATCGAAATGCCATTATATTTGTAAGCAACAATTTGTCTTTCCAATATGATTCTTCAAGAACAAAAGCAGTTAAAATAACTTAATTGTTTTGCGCGTAAAAAAAGTTGCAATAATTGTAATTTTGATGAATAATGTTGCGTGTAATTCATTGAAAATTTACGCGGATGGACATGAAAAATATGATGTTGCTGCAATGTAACATAATGTCATTGCCTAATATATTCGAGTATCACAACTTGTCCGCAATTATTAAAAAAAATTTTGGGCAGTAGGTACAAGGGGGAAAATGTACAAATTGCAGATAAATATGGAATAATTGATTTTTGTTTTTGATTCTAACTTTATCAGCAAGAAAATCAACCATGACCGCTAGGGCATGCTGATACTCGATTTTATGAAGTCAGCATCTCATACCAAAATACGATTATTTTTTATCGTTTTTTTTAGTTTTAAAGATATGTTTCTTGTGGTTGAATATGATATTACACGAAGTAGTAAATGAAACTCTTTTTACGGATACAATACGTTGCAGTAGTAATTAAAAAAAGTTTGAAAAAAATATTATATAGTAGGAAAAATGTATTATTCCCGATAAAGTAGCAGTTTCAATATTCAATAACATCTCATATTACATTTGACACGATGTGAAATTGCTTCAAACAATTGACGTAAGAGTTTTAAATGTTTACAGCAGACAATAATTTTGTATCAATATGCGCCTTCTGATAACCTACATATTCATTCAAGCAGGTACACATAGTTGGAAATTCGAACAATAAGACTGAACTCGTCATACGTATGTATGTACTTGCCAGCAATTAAAATTAGTCAAAGTCAATGATTGGTTATACCTTCTTAACAAATACCTCGATATTCCTTTAATTAAATCTTGAGAAAACTGAATGAAATCACGGAGTAGTTTACTAACTGTTATGAATTAATACAAAATGTAAGTATTTATGTAATTTAAACATGTCGAACGGTTTTTTATTAGATTTATGATAAATGTGAAATTATTTGTAAGTTTATTGGATTTAGAAAGGCTCTGTAATGATTCATGTATTTCCCATGCACTGTATTTGGAGGATATCAATTATTAAAAAAATTTTGATAAAAGGCTATCACATAAGTAATGTTACAAGATAAAAATCTATAGAAAAGATACTAAGAAAACATTAATCATGGTGTTACAGTTTTGTATGACAGTGGCATAAAATTCCATTATATTGACAACAATGTGTCAACAAAACAAACCGACATAATAGGTAAAATGTCAAAAAATGGGGTACAGCAGTCAACATTGTGCTTTAATCTTAATCACTATAAAACAAACAACTATGTCAACAAAGAAAAACAAGAAAATATTTAAACATTTAAAATTTAGAATGCAAAATATCTAACGACATGTCTAGTTCTAGTGCATTATGCATATTGTTTGTGCTTGGAGCTCTTTACATTTGATTAACAATAACATTAGATTACCGTATAATTGCAGTAATTATTCCCAATCCGTGTATACATTTATATTTTATTGCTGCGTTTAAAGTATAATTTTGTAAGTTACTGGTTAGTTGATAATTGACTCATAAAAGTCCTTCACCTGTACACAACGATTCTAAAATCTATAAAGTGAAGAAGAATACAAAATGTTTATTCACGAGCAGGTGAATTCATTTGAACAATTGCATTGAAACTAATTTATGAAATATATCCTCTATGTAAGAGATTGTTGTAGACGTTCTAAGGATCAAGGCAACACTTAAATGTATGAATTTGTATCTAACTTATTTTAGATGTGCGAAGTATCACATATATGTCGTATATGCGTCCATATACATGTGTTTTTCAAATAAATGTTTTGAAGAAATTATTTCCGTAAGACTGATATATTGGAACACCAAATAAGAGTCTTAAAATAAAAACTCATCAAAGATACCAGGCTTATAATATGGGGTGCAGACGCGCGTTTTTTCTACACGAGACTCATCAGAGGCACTCGAAGCAAAACAGTTGTAAAAACAAACCAACAAGACGTTGAAGATCACTCTAATGTTGTCTTAACACGGAAATTTAAAATCACTCTGACTATGTCTAACAATGCTATTTTAATATTCTTTTTGAGTGTTTAAAACCATTGGAATCCCTTTATTTCAAATAATAAGAGTGAAAAATTGAAAATTAAAATAATGATATAGTATGAAAAACACTGATTTTGATTACATTTTGCATGATGTATGATGCAAGATAGGTTTGTTGAAGGTTAAAATACAATGAAATATTTAGGATTGTATTTTTTAAAAGTAAAAATATATTTTGAATTAAAATATACATCTTAAAATAATAATATTGAAATTTTTAAATTGTGATATTTGTCTTTCATTTCTTTGGTGAACATCAGAGACGTATACAATTGTTTCAGTAAGATAGCAAATTATCTGATATAGAAATTAATAATACTTTATTTCAAACGCAATACAGCTTATACATGTTATAGGCAAATATTTTTAATCGAATATTTTTAAGGATTTGTGATCCGTTAAAACTTGAACACATGTACATTTGTATAAACTCAGTTTGCACGCCAATACTGTTGTGCTTAGCTTTTCGTAGGTCAAAAACAGCACATTGCACAGGGCATACAGCATGTTACTAAAACTACATTCTGGAAATCCCCAATTTTGTTCATTGTTAAAGCAATAGCTTATTATTAATAATATAACAATTGTAGCCTTTGGTTAAGGTCAATACGGTGTTACTTGTTTCTTTATTATTATGAGGCCGACTTCATACAGGAACTTCTTAGGAAGAAAGATAAGAAGTTAGCAATATCCTTTAACTTTACGTTCTGCTATATAGATGATGTTCTCTCATTAAATAATACAAAATTTGGTGACTATGTTGAACGAATCTATCCCATCGAACTAGAGATAAAGGATACTACAGATACAGTTAAGTCTGCCTCATATCTTGACTTACATATAGAAATTGACAATGAGGGTCGGTTAAAAACAAAACTTTACGACAAAAGAGATGATTTCAGCTTCCCAATTGTGAACTTTCCATTTCTATGTAGCAACATTCCAGCAGCGCCTGCATACGGAGTATGTATATCCTAGTTGATACGATATTCCCGGGCTTGTATTTCCTATCATAATACGGACGCCATCACGAGTTGGTTGACCGTTATGGAATAACCGTTTCACAGATGATATCGGATATGTTCCTTATGTTGTAACTTCAATACCCTTCCCTTTTCACGAATGTGACCTACCGAATTAGACTATTTACCGGATTTGTAATAACATAAGCAACACGACGGGTGCCACATGTGGAGCAGGATCTGCTTACCCTTCCAGAGCACCTGAGATCACCCCCAGTTTTTGGTGGGGTTCGTGTTGCTTAGTCTTTATTTTTGTTTTCTATGTTGTGTCATCTGTACTATTATTTGTCTGTTTGTCTTTTTATATTTTGGCTATGGCGTTGTCAGTTTGTTTTCGATTTGTGAGTTTGACTGTCCCTCTGGTATCTTTCGTCCCTCTTAAACATTGACTTAGAGAAGCATATCGATCTCAGACTTCATCCTCAGTCAACATGCCTCTCTTAGGTCGATATAACGTCGTATCGACCTCATACAAAGGCTTTAATTGTATAATAACAAAATATACATCAAATTTTAATACAGACATACATGTATGAACACGTATAGTGATAACATTAACGGTATCATTTTTATTGCACCATATGCGCATTTCGACCATAAGTTTCTCTTAAGTGTTGATCGAGGTCAAATTATTTGAAAATCCTAAACTTGAAGATAGCGAATAATATCGATATACAAATGTAAAATAACAGTAGCGAAGCAAGATTCGCAACATTTATGAATTACGAAGTTTTTTTCGGCAGCAACGTACATTTCCCTACATTGTTAATTTCTTTTGCCTTGATTATAACAGACAAATTTTAAGGCTGAACGATATTTCTAATTGTATTTTTATATATCTTTCACGTAAATCTTCATATGTTTTACATTTCAAAATAAAATGACACTCATCTTCAATAAGTATACCGTTAAACAATATAAAATATATTTCATTTCTGTTTACAGTATAAAACGACCCGTTTCAATTTGCGAACGATATGCATGGATTTAATAATCAATTAAACACATACTTGACGGCTATTTGTAGCCATAACTGCAATTAATGTTTGTCTCATATATATTTGTAAAAAAATACATTGATGTGTCTCACAAAAATATATTGCTTCATATGCAAAGTTATCAGTAAGCCCTTGTTCAATCCCACTAAGACATTTATCTACACAATATGTGCCTTGGTAACACCAAATAATATTGAAAACAGATTTATACTACATATCATTTTACAAGCCCTATTCAGTCTATTGTGTAGCTTTTTGCCAATTCAAATAATTTCTAACATGATGTCATAAAATGATCTGGGATTTAAAAAATATTTTAACCAGTATTTAATAATTCCTTATTATCTTTCAATATACATAGGAAAACTTCTTTATTCAAAGTAAACCACATTATTTACTGTAGACTTTTTAGGTTCGTGTTAAATAAATTTAAATGCACCTTTTGAATATCTTCTCCTTTGTGTGATCCCCACATTCACAGTCATAGATTTAAATACACGACACATATTGTCAACAGACTTTACTTTACAATTAAAAATTCGTTTTTGGCCTTCATTTGGCCTTTCATTAGTAAATAACCTGATCACTTATCTCAATTTTATTTCCATTCAAAAAACATATTCTTAATGTTAAACAAAACATTAATTAAAAAAATACAATTTTTGTTTTTGCTAGGTTTATATACAAATCCCGTGGACAGAATTTATTCGCCTGCTTGATAAGAGAGTAAAAGGTAAATATTTACGGTTGATAAATCAAAGAATTTAAAAAAAAGTAAAACAAATTTTAAAATTATAAGATTCAAATTCTTAAACTTTTGATTACAAACTTTTATTTCTTTGATGACATATTAGTATTAACTTGTACCAGTAATATAAACACATCTTTGACAAGGACGGAATTTACTCTCATGCAAGCCAGGACAAGTGGGACGATTAAAATAATAGTCCTAGAGGAGAGTAAATGACATATAATGACGTTTGAAAATTTTAAATAAAACTAATTCCAAAGGAACAAATTATATATGATAAAACAGAAACATCTTAAAATAAGATCATGTTTAACTTTATATGTAACAGATATAAGAAAATGAGCTCAAAATTATAACATTTAAAAATGTACATATGCGAATTGGCTTTACTTTGATATTTACAATAGACAGATTAAACAGTTATAAATAGTTACGACTTACGTTGGAGCAGTCTAAGATATAGTTTGCTACAAGTTTGCTATTAGCATTAAAGAGTACTGTAATGACTTCATTTGGAGATAGTTCATCAATGTTTACTCGGTGAATAGATGGTAACTCGTGTATACGTAACTGTTTGTTTCGTGCCTCAGTATAACGGTCACAATAGATAAGGAAATGTGTTTCGTCTTCAACCGAACCTGAATCACACAATTTACATAAACGTAGATTAACTGGAATGTTTCTGTAACGACCTTGTTCAATTTCTTATTGAAAAGTTCTAGAGCGAATCCTTTCAATTGATGAACGTTGTACATGTACCCTTGATAAATGTCTATATACATACGGTTCTGTTGAAAATTATGACTTAAAAATTTTAAACGTTCTCTGTTTTGACATTGTACGCACTTCAGTTATCCATATATCTTTAAAGTCATCTACACATTTACTGTTGACTGTTTCTATTATGTAGTTTGTAAAACTCTGTCGCTACTGTAGTTAATCAAATACGTAAAACTACAAGTGTTTAAAGTTGTTTTGATACTAATAAACCAGGTATTCTTGTAGCATGTAGAGGTGTCAACGTCCCAACGGAACACCTT